AAACTTTTCAATCAGCATTGTAGGTACAGTGGATTTTGTCATAATTTTGCCAACCAGAACCAGATGTGCTTGTCTTTTGACAGAGTGGAATAACAAAATCATATTTGTTCAAGCCACAAGACAGGTAATAAATAACTAGAGATATGATGTTGTAGCTTAGCATTCTTCAAAAGGAATGATGAATATTGCTGAAGAATTTAATTTGAAATATAAAGGCAGCTTTTGAAGAGAAAACCAGCTGAAGCTCTGATAACATTTCCTTTCCTCCTGGGCCAGAGCCAGGATGGGGCCCAGAACAAAAGGGGTCTTCCGCAGATGTGGCTGAGGGGCCAGTCCTATCCTTGAGTACATTGCGGAAACTCTGACGTCCTTGGGAAGACTGGCTCTTGGGATCAAAGACGAGCAACAGACGGTCGTTGAAATAGCAGGTGTCTGGGTCTGATGGGAAGCCATTCATCTGGGCGGCTTCTGCCAGCATAGCCTGCCACACTCACTGTCCAGCAGAGGCTCCCGTCCCTCAGGGCCAGGAGATGATGGCCCAAGATGGCTGAGCAGGTCTGCTCCAATGAGAGGCTCAGCTTTCTTTCTTCCATCAGCCTCAGGCAGTTCTGGGCCCTGAGGGGAGGGTCTCTTGCTGGCCCTGCACAGGAGAGTCAAGGAGAGCTTCTTTGTGAGTTATCTAAGCACACTTTCTGAAAACGCAGCTTCAAAAGAGAAGACCCACTGCTGCCAGTCCCTAAATTGTGCCTCATCTCTGCCTTCGCTCCAGGGAAATCCCCAAAGCCCCCACGCCCCAACCCGGCCTTTCTTTTACAAGCCAGGAAGCCTTCGTTCTGCAGGAGAGGCAAAATGTGTTTTCATTTAGCATTGGCTATGTGAAAAAGGGGGCTTCTTGTGCCAAAAAGTTCAGCAAAGTGGAGGAGCTCTTTTTCCCAAGCCCAGGAAGCCTTCCTGATCCTGACCCTTCTCCAGCCTTGGCCAAACCAAAATAGTCTCATCTCTGAAGTTTATTGGCAGATCTGGAAAAATCAGCTTTGGTTAGATTTGCAGATAACAGATGTCTTCTTTGATGAATATGAATGTGGAAGGACTCAAAATCTCAAGTAGCTAGGTGGAAGGAAGGCAAAGGGGACAGAGAAGGAAGGAAGGGAAACTTTTTCACAGAAGTAGCCACTGCAAAGCTACACTCTCCTTCCACATGTGGACTGCACACAAGTCAATGGCCACTGGCCTGGAAAGGGGTCTGCAGAAGCCAAGATCCTTTGCCACACAGCCACCCCTCAGTCCTGGGAGAGGAATTCTACTGTTCCCTTCACAACTTAAGGCTTCTCTGTTGGTTACCCTTAAAAGGGAGCAGTAGAATTCCTCTCCCAGGACTGAGGGGTGGCTGTGTGGCAAAGGATCTTGGCTGCTGTATCCAGCCTGGTCTGTTGAGAGAGCCCATGACATCTGTCTTCCGTCCCCAAGATCTGGATTGCGGAAGCTGATGGCCACAATTAAAGACAGTCCTGTTGAAAACCTGATCTCTGTCAGCTCTCAACTTCATGTAAGCTTTTCAATATGGCTGTAATTTGATATTAAATTACTGTACTTCATTGCTGTCCTGTTGATTTTTAAGGATATGAAGGCTAACATAAAAGAAAAATGGCACCATATCTGTGTAATTTTATAATTATATCATTGTTTTTCTGCACTTAGAAAGCCTTATGTAGTTTAGGCCTCTCTGGAGAAATGATAACGATGGGGGAGCAGAGGTCCTCTTTCCCCCTTGGCATGCATAGCATCAGGAAGGGTTCTTTGGGGGGAGAGTTTCCCTAAAAGGACTCCTGAGTCGGAATCCTCCTCGGCCTTCCCCCCAAAATGGCCTCCCTTGTGCAAGAGGCCAAACCCCAGACTCAGACCGGCTCTCCGGCCAGACTGACCTCCCCCCACCCCCACCACAGTTGAGCTCTGTGCAAAATTTCCTCAAAGGACAGGGCAGATATTTAGCCACAATGCAAAGAACAAAGGCAGTTGGTTGGTTGACAACCCTGGCTGGCATGATCCCTGCCCAGGAGGGGAAGGGCTCTCCTTCTGAAGCCAGCAGCTGCCTCCCTCCCGCCTGATTTCTGAAGCTGCTGCTGAGGGAGCAGCCACCTCCCTTTGTCTAAGGCTCGCCCGGTGATTCACGCCAGCCGGTCAAGGCTGAATCTTCTGCCTGGGAAGAGCCCCGGACGAGAGTTGCTGCTGCCACTCAGGGGAACGGCTCTTCCCAGGGCACGGCAGCCACCTGGGCAGCTACTTTGGGGGTTTCTTCTTCGTCACTTTCTGCAAGGCCAGCGTTGAACTTGCTGTTTTGCAGCACAAGGGTACTTGGGGGAGGGAGTAATCTGGGCGACTGACCCAGGGAAGAGCCCCAGGAAGAGCGGAGAGCAGTTTGACTAGCCGAGGCCTCTCTTGCAAGGAGAAGAACTGAGCCCAGGGGCCGAAATGGAGGAACTCTTTCTTCATCAGTGCTGCTTTGAGAGGTTACGCAGGAGACCCCAAGGAGAAGGCTGGGCCGGTCCTCTCTGCAGCCTTATAAGGAGTAGAAAAGGCTTTCCTAAAAACTCTCTCATCTTCCAGGAATTCAAACTAGCAAAAGAAAACATAGAGCTGTAGCCAGAATGAAAAGCAACCAATGATTGACCCCCCCCCCGGCCATTGTAGTCAAAAAGTGGCATCGGAGTCATTATCTAACTGACTTCGAGTGGCATGTAGCCCCAATATGGTAACTGGGTTAAAACCAAACAGGAAGAAGAAAGAAGGGTCTCTGGAGGCCTCCAGGTTGGGGAAAGCAGGAGAAAGGAAAGGAAAGCTTGAGACAAAGGATCCTCCCTCCCTCCCCCTCTTTCACGCACACACTTTCGCTTTGGGTAATCCTCTGATTGTAGTGCAGTTGCTGTATGATGACTGATACAGAGGCTCTCCATTATCAAATCATTTTATTTCCTATTGAGCTGCAGGTAAAGTGGGCCCTGGAGATGGGACAACAGGCTTGTCTCCAACAGATGAAACTGTGTTGAATGCAAGTTTAAAAAGAAACAGAACCTGCTGGGCTGCTCATACTTTAGCATCTTCCTGCACAACAACAACAACAATCCTGCACCAAGAGCCAGTGTGCTTTCTCCCATTCGGCAGCTCCGGCCTGGGAGCACAAAGACCTCCAATTGGGGACCCCCTCTGACTCCACTGGAGCTCAGAGAGCAAAATGAGGAGGGAGGGGCTTGCAGAGGAGAGGGGCTGGGAAAGCCCATTGATCAAAATGGAGTCACCCAGGTTAAATGCTGGCCTCCCCTAAGAGGCTGCATCAGAGGAGCCCGCCTGTCCTTTGACTGAGGAAGAAGGGAAAAGCCTCTCCAGAGGAAAAAGCATCAGGAGCGGGGGGGGGGGGAGAGAGACATGGTCAGGGCAAATCCTGGAGGGTTTGCAGCCAGGCAGGAGGACAGCCTCCTTCCTCAGGCCCAGGCACAGGATGTGCTGTATCTACTTTTCAGAATAGAGATCAAGTCTCCTTAAGGCTACCAGGTCTGGACTTCAAAAGTCTAGGCCAGGGATTTTCAACCAGTGGTACGGGTACCACCTGTGGTACATTGGCACCTGGCAGGTGGTACGCGACCATGCTAGAAAAGTGGTAGCGGGGGAGGGGCAGCACCGCACAAGCCTGAGTGAGAGATGGCTGGAACTGCAGGGCTGCCAGGACTCAGTGGAAGCGCCAGGATCAGTGCTTCTTCGGAGCTGTCAGGGCTCAGCGGAAGCACCAGGATCAGTGCCAGGCTCCAGCTGGAGCTCAGCACTGATCCTGACGCTCCTGCTGAGCCCAGAAGAAGTGGCGATCAGCTGGAATGTTGCTGCATCTCCAGGGTCTTGTGATTTACATTCAGATGCTTGGCAATTGGTTCATATTTATGACAGTCACAGTGTCCCAGGGTCATGTGAAGTGACCAAAACCTGATGCAACCACCCAGCAGACAGGGGGAATAAAAACCAACCCCCCCCACCCCACCCCCGCTGCCAATCCCCAACAGAAATGCTCACAACAATGAAAACCTCAGACAGGAGAAAGAGTGCCGCCGGGCGGGCAGGCAGGTATCTTGCTCGGCTGTGGCTCAGGGGGCACTTTTTTTCAGTGCCATTATAACTTCGAACAGTCACTAAGCAAACTGTTGTAAGTCGAGGACTACCTGTATTTTATCATTGTTTCCTTTTGGGGGGGGGGTCGTCAAGTTTTTGACACCTTTCTAGGCAACTGGTGGTACTCGGATGTTGCCATATCCTAAAAGTGGTACAATGGGTGAAAAGGTTGAAAAGCCCTGGTCTAGGCGACCAGTTTGTGGCAGCAGCAAAGAGCTCTTCTCTGATGCCTAGTGGTCATCCAGAGTTCTGCACCCCACCTCTGCTAGTTATTCTTCCGCCCCTCCCCTGAGGATATTATAGAGAGCAAGGAAAGGGGGAGCCCTCCCTCCTGCAAGGCAGCAGCAGCTGCCTATGTTTCTCTTTGCTCTGCTCTTGTTTGCATCAAGAGTCAGAATATGTTGTGCAGTTTCCTTCCTAAGCAGGGGGGTTGTGTGGCAAAACAATTCCTCAAACCCTTCGTTCTGAACGCAAAATGATCAATTCCCACACACCCCTTTTCTGCATCATGTATGTAAACTGTTTAATGCAGGAAGAATTTTGGACTTGAATGTTTTATTTTTTCAGAGGTGGGAAACGGCCATGGAGAAACAAGCCCCTGCCCATAAACACAACCCTGGCAGCAATCAACTACCACACCAAGGGGTGCACTAGCCGACGGGCACCTGGGGAGGCACTTGCCTCCTGATGTGGAGGCTGAGCAACTTCTTGCAGTCTGTCAATGTAACTGTCTAATGTTGGGCTCGGTCGTGCCCTGATCAGACAGGAAAGAATTTCTTGGCAGGGCACCTCAGCCACCTGGGCCCTGGAAATGACTGCAGCTCTCCAGTTGAGGCCCCAGGGGACCAAGCTATGAGTGCCATTTGCTGCTGCTGATGCGATTCGGTCTTTCCAGGAGCTCCCGCAGCTGCCCCGGCCTCCTCCTTTTGCTGAGCTACTTGCAAGGTCAGCACCAGCCCAGCCTCAGCATGGAACTGAGGTCACTCAGTGTGGAACTGAAGGCCGGATGGCCCAGGAGGCCCAGGAAACCGGCCCTGGGATACTGAGGGTGGCCTCTGCCAGGGCTCTTCTGGAATCAGTCCCCCTCCTCTTTGGCTTTCCTCCTTGGCTGAAAATGGGCATATTCTTGTCCTCAAATCACAAATCTGGCTGTGTGTTGATGTTTCTGACTCTCTCACACACCACCACCCCGGGGGCCTCAAGGGGAGAAGAGCTCCCATCATCCTAAACAGTCTTGTCTTCTAGAAGCAAAATCCAAGCACTCTTATTATGAACGAACTGACACTGTCAATAGGGGGTAAGGATGAAAACCTTGAGGGGTATCACAATTACCATTTGAATGACAGAAGCAAAGACAATGCAGTTTGAGCATACACAAAAATGAGTATAATTGGGATTTTCTTTCTGCATTATGCAGAATTTCTGAAAATTGCTTTTAGCAGATACAGAAAGGGAAGATATTGCAGCCTGCCAAGGGAAGGCCAAGGGAGAAGGTGCCCTGCCACCCAGAAACCTCTCGCTTGGCTCTACCTTTCCCAGAGCGCAGAGGCAGGTAGGGGAGAAAGGCAGGCATGCAGTGGGCAACTGAAAGAAGCCAAATTTTCTTGGCTGCCGGCTCGGTTTGCAAGGGCAGAGAGCTGGTCCATGAAATCCTTAGCTTGTGTTTGTCATGGCAAAAAGGGCTGTCTCATTTGGGCTGGGGGGAAAAGGGGGCAGAAATGCTGGCTCTGGTGGGGAAAAGCAGCAGCCTTCCATCCCTTGGTGAGAATATGTCTCTTCTCATAACCGATCAGCCGCTTGATCCGAAATTCACAGTGGAAGCCATCTCTGGGCTGCCTGATTGAATTTAAACAGGCAAATGAGGGCTTGGAGCCCCTCTCCGTTTCTCAGTTGCCCATCCCTCAAAATGCCAATCACCACCTTGTCATCCTTTTCTGCCATTTCTTTTCCAACAGCCACCATTTTATATTAAGATGAACTAGCCTGATGTGAAGTTATCAGGAAATGGAGGATGATGTGGGCAAAGGCAGGGAGGGGCGCAGGCACAGAACACAAGAGGAGGGAGGGGTGAGAAGGCAGCAGGCGGGCTCAGAGAATTGGAGGGCAGAAAATAGTAAATTGCTGCTGTCATGCTCTCCCTGGGACAGTAAAATCTGTTTCTAAAGGCTCTCCCCTGCCCTGTCTCAATTATTTTTCTTTCTCTCAACCCCCTCCCTGAAAAAGAAATGTTGCATGATAAATATCCAGAGGGCAGCTGGAGTCAATCAACAGAATGACCAGCCACAAGAAGCTCTTTGTGCCACGAACAACAGTGTCTGTCCCTCTGTCCGTCCAGCTCTTCCTTTGCAGAAGGGGACAGCGTCCGAAGCTGGGGGCCACAAGCACAGCCCTGAGTGCTGGGGGCTGTCAGATGGGCAACAGTCCCCCCCCCCAGCCACAAGAGGCAAGGCAAAGTTCTGGCACAAAGCAAGGGCCGACCATCTTCGCGTGACCCTCCCAGCAACAGGGGCGTCCTGCACACAGGCTCCAGCTCTTGGCCAATCCTTCCGGGCAAACCAGGCACAACTAGATGAGGTAGATTTATTGTGTTCACCGCATCTTGCAAGTCTGAAGGTACAAACTTCTCATTGCCACTTTTGATCCATCGATCCATTCAGCCAGGTCCTTCCTCAGTTTCTTCCCCTGGGGGGTCCTACCCATCTTCTTTGCATCTTCCCCCCCCCACCAGCACTTTTCTCCTCCATGCTTCCCACTTTCTCTTGCACTGCCCTGGCTCGGAGGGCCGAGGGGTAGACAGACGGGTCCAAACAGAATAAAATCATGCTGGGAGAAGGTAAGTCTGGCAGCAACTGCTGTCTGCTTCCCAGTGGCTGTCCAGCGGTCATGATGTCCCTTGCCGGAATAAAAGAAGAGGAGCCTTTGCTTGCAGCTTCCTGCTGTAAGGGCACCGAGGCAGTTGCTGTGGGATGACTGTCAGCAATCGGCCTCTGCGAGTAGAAAGCCTTTCTTTGCCTGTCATCGCAGTAGGGAAAGCAACAACTCCAAAATGAGTTTTGTCACGATGGAGGGTGGCCAGCATAATAACCCTCCCTTCAGATCATCTCTAGTTTCCACTCACCGGGCCAAAGAAATGAGTTCAGGCTGTTCTGCATTAACAACAAGTGACTTCTCTGAATCTGAGACCGATTCGCCATAGGCTGGCTTCATCTAGTAACCAAGCCAACTTGGGGAGGGGCTTATCGCTAGCCCCCTATGTGGCCTCACTGGCAGGGTTTTAGCTACCCATGGGACTGGGGACTGATTGGGAGAGACGGGCTGAGAGTATTTTGCGTGTGGCTAAGAAGTGTATAGCAAGTGGGAACTGCCTAGAACTGGTTATAAGATGGGCAGCTATAGAGATGTTTTAAATAAATAAACAGCTTATCTCGAGAGACGACAAAGGCAGAATTAATTCAAGTAAAAGGCTGAGGCTATACTTTCCAATAGAGTTCCTCTTCTGGTGGTCACCACAGTGGCCCTGGGGCTCCTGCTGAAGCGTTGCTCCTGGTCGGGTGGGGTTCCTGGGTCACCAAGTTCCTTGGCAGACTAAGCACCTCTGGGTGCCAAGAAATATAATGCAGAAATTGCACCCAGTACGGCTAGATTTGAGGAAACAGCTGGGCATTCCCCTGGGCTCAGTGGCCAAACTACTCTGCAGAGGGCAGACGGGACTTCGATTTGTGGGTGTTCAGAGAAGCTGCAAGAGGAATTCAAGGATTGATCTCAGCATCCAGCCATGTCTGAGTGCTTCGACTCAGATCTTCCTTCGTAGGAAACACTCCAGCTTCTGTGCAGGAAATGGGTATAAAGAGTGCATTGTAGTATAACATGGAAATTAAATCCACAGCCCTCCTCCTGAGCTTGCTAATGGCTGAAATCTAAGAGTCCAAGATTATTATTACAGTTAATTGCAGAGTCAGCCAGATGTTCAGATTTGGATTTGGCATTTTTATCCACCTATCGAGTTCTTCCCACGGACCTGGGATGGTCAGATGTTGACATCTGATGTTGTTAGAGGTATCATCGCAGGATGGAAGCTGTTCCACCAAAGCCGCCTTTTGGAATTGACTGATGGCAAATTTGTCAATGCCGAGGGTTTTCCAGTGGGGTTCCAGTTGTTTTGGGATTGTACCCAAGGCACCTATTACTACCCCATTGGTGCTACCTTTGCTTTCTTTTGCCACAGTTGTTCTATTTCTATTTGCAGGTCTTTGCATTTTATTATCTTGTCCAGTTATTTCTCTTCTGTTGTCTCCAGGAACTGCCACATCCATTATCCAGGCATCATCATCATTATAGATTTAATCTTCAATTTGATTGACAGTCTGGGACTGGTAAAAGCAGTTCAAGTCCTAATCAAGGACCTAAGAGCTATTAAGGTAAAGTCTGAGTATATTATTATTATTGTTATTTTTTATCCAGTCATCTTGCAGTTTGAAGTGACTATGGGTGCTCCAAGACCTTAGCTTCAAGAAGAAAGTTCAGACTTGTTGCAGCACCAAGCATTTTGTTGTGCAGAATTGGCTGTTTGTCTTAAACATGTAACTTGGTATTCTGTTCTGACCAGATCAGAGTCTAGGAGAATTTACAGGAGTAACTGTCGCTGCACCGTAAGACTTGCAAGAAGCTGCTTTGGGTGAGAGGGGGGGGCTGTCTCGCCTGCGTCTGCAGCACGCGTGTTGGCTGTGTCCATTTGGCTGAGGAATGGGACATGCCCTGGGTCTCCAAGCAGGACAGCAAGGAAGGGAATGACTGCAGAATACAGCCAAAAGGCCAAAAGACTCTCCCAGCAGAAAGGAAGATTTGAAGCCAAGATCTGCCTTTTCCCCAAAGAACTTCAGGGATAAATCGGCAAAACATCCTGCAGCTGAATTTTGGGTGGGGTTTTATGTGCTCTGCTTGTGCCCTTAAAAGAAAGGCCCAGGGCTCCCAGGTTGCAAGTTCATTACTGAAATTGAATTATTCAGGAAAGCTGGTTTAGGCAAAGGCATCCCTTCCTGTTTCTGCTTTCCCCCTACTTTGTGGTATCAGCAATTCACACACATATACTTTGCCTGCAAGAAGTACCGTAGTTTCAGTGAAAACGTGTTTTATTGCATAAGGGAAAACCTTCTGCTAGCCATTTTATTCATCGGGAGGTTGGACTGGATCCAGAGAGGCTGGTCTGGGCTTCCCCACAAGGGCAGCCTCCTGGAAACCCAGGCAAGGTCATCATCCTGCCCAGCATGATCCCAGGATGGAGGGTCTGAGGGAGGCCACAAAGCCAGATCTGGCCTGCGCGGTGTTTCCAGGAGCACCCCAGAGGGGCTGGAACGGAGCCTGGGAGAGGTGGCTCAAGGAGCAGGCCCTTCAGCATCGCCCCAGGCCATAGGCAGCCCCTCAGAGCAGCTAGACCTTTGGATGGAGGCCAGGGGTTCCCAGGAGTCAGGCACGGGTGCTCAGGGGTCCTTTGGGATGCAACTCCCAGCTGTGGAATGGGAAATACCATGGAAAGGGGGCCCTGGCAGGCCGGCGCTGGGAAGCAGGCGCTGGGAAGGCCTTGATACAGTCCCAGGAAGCTTCGCTGGGTTCCTCCTTGGCCCTTCACCAAAAGATTGGCGGGGTGCGGGGAGTGCAGAAAGGTGCAGAAGGTCAGGTAGGGCAGTCCCTGAGCGGAGGGGCTACGTGGCTCCTAAGGCAGCTTCTACAAAAGGCGCCTGCGGGGCGCCTCCTGCCTCGCTTGGCCTCCCTTTGGCCAGCAGACACCGCCAGAGTTTCGGTCGGGGCTCGGCTGACACCTGGATGGCGACTTCCGCCTCCTTCCCGCTCGGCAAAGTTGCGACAGGCCAGAACAGCGCGCGCGGGGGGGCTCAGCTGAGCCCGCAAGGCGGCCGGGCGCGGTTTGCTCCGGGCGACCCAGAGCCGCAGCGCGTAAGCCGGGCGTGCTTCCCTGGCCTCGGGCCGAGCCAGGCGGGAGGGCGTGCGCGTGTGCGGGCAACGGCGGGACGGAGGGGCGGCTGCCGAGGTTCCGCTTCCCTCTAGGACGGCCGCCACTGCTGCAGGCGTGTCCAGAGTCGCGGCGGGGATCGACAACCGCGCGGCCCCCGGGCCTGGGCAACCGCCGAAGCTCGCGCAGAGCGGGCGCCGCCACGGCCCGGAGACGAAGATCTGAGCCGGGAGCGGCTGCTTTGCCCTTCGCCGGCGGCGGCCCGGCTCCCTCCGCTGAGCGAGGTAAGAGGGGCGCCTTGGCGAGCCCCGAACGGGGGCCCCGGCGCGCGCTCCATCCGCGCCTGCTGCTCCCCGGTGCCGGGGCCGCCCGCTGGGGGCGGAGGGGCTAGGGCGGGCAGGCCGCGGCCCCCGAGAAGAGGGCGCTCAGCTCGGTCGCGACCCATCTCGCGCCTGCAGAGCGCAACCGGGGTCGTTGCTGCTGGCGGTCGCCGCGCGGCTGCCGCTCGCCCGCCGCCTGCCCGGCCGCCTTTCCGCTCACCTCGAGACGGGAGCCCCGGCAGCCTCCGAGCGGGGCCGGCCTCGGTGTCCTGGGCGGGCTGGGAAGAGACCCGTGCCCGGTGCAGTCCAGGACCGTTCCTCCCCACGGCGAAGCGGCAGCGAAGACGTCGGTGCGCCGCGTTTACTGAGAAGGCAGAGAGGCCGGCGTGACCCGCGGAAGAGCCTCCAGAGCCCCGTCGAACCTCGCGCGGGGAGAAATTTTTCCGCCAGTCTCGCCGTTTCCCTCCCCTGGGAAGGAAGGAAAGGAAAGGAACTGGACCCCCCCTTATGTTTTCTCAGCTGGAGCCCCTCCCCACACGATCTGATTGGGGCCAAGCCCACCGCGGTTCCCGGTCGTGCGCTGCCCAGCCCAAAGGAAGGGCCGGCGGGGAGGGGGCTCCGCACAGGGACCAGAGGCGCCCCGCTTTCCTAGGTCTGCCCAGGTTAGGCGGGGGGGGGGGGGTGGAAGCGGCCTGCGCCAAGCAAGGGGCGGCCTTTCTGCTCGGGAGACCAGGGGCCTCCTCAGCCTGCACCTCCGGGCTATTTGCCTGGCTGCTGAACGTGCCCTGTTCCTCCCGGAGGGCTAAAGGTTCTCGGCGGAGCAGGCTCGGCGTTGATCTCGGACCTCAAGCGGAGAAGGGCCTGGCCACCGAAGGGGCGCAGCTCTTGCTAGTTTGGGAGCGCTCGAGGTGGCGGGCCATTTTGTCCCCTGGTTGGAAGAGTTTTCTAAGAAAAAAAATCTAGCTCTGTCATCCGGATAATTGTGCTGAAGTTTAAGGCAAAACCCCGAGGAGAACCAATTCTGTTTTTTTGAAGGAGAGCAGGTGTAAAGCACATCAAATAAGCCTGTTTCTGCAAAGGCCTTTGCCATTCTTACTAGTGCACGCTCCAGATTTATTGATCTCTTCGTGGATCTTAGCAAACACTTCCAGTTCCTTTGGAAGACGGCTCCAATTGCTTCTGGACACCTCCTGGATTAATGAGATGCAGGTGACTGTTGCAGATGCATGTTATTGGTAAAGCAATATTGATTTAGAGTATCAGTTTTGACTGATCAATTCTCAAAAGTTGTAGAGTGGTTTCATCCAGTTTTAATACTTCAAAATAAAGCCTCATCCAAGGCTGGGCAGAAATGCCATTTAAAAGTTTCTTTGGGGTGTGGCAAAACAAAAATGTTTGATTTCATTTTATGGGACTGTAAAAAGAAAGGAATGGAGAGGCAGCAGCTGACCTGGGAGGGTGGTGTGGGAGCCTGGCGGGCAGCCCTGTGGCAGCCATGATGGCCATCCAGCCTTGGAGAACCATCTATTTTTATGAGCCTTTAGTCTGAGAGAGGCTCTCGCATGAGCTGTGGCTGCCTGTTGACATAGACCAAAATATGTTTTCCCACAGGAGGATACAACTTGCAAGAGGCACATTTATGAAACTAAAGCACCCAGATAATTCTATTCTTAAGAAAAACCTATTTCTTCTTTTGATTAGAAATCATGTTAATAATGTGTGCTTTTTTTCTCTTAGAGCAAGAGAAAGCAAAAATGCGGAAGTCTGACATCTAACACACTCTCTGTTGCTTCTTGTTTTTTAGCTTTTCCATTTCTAGGCAGAAATTGTTCTTTTCACGGAGCTGTAATATTGGAAGAAAAATATTGTTCTCTTGTCGGAAATAGCTAGTTTGATTTTTCTGGCAGATGGATAGGCTCAGGTAGTATTTTTAAGAAAGACTATTTTATATGAAAATATTTGTGACCTTTCTAATGCCAGAAAATAAATTTCTGTTGCTAATGCTTTTTATGATCAAAAAATGTGTGTTTGGTGATGTTTGAAAAATGTACAGTACCCTAAATATAACAGATTAAAATTCAGCTCTAGAATTTATTGGTCTCTTTTCCTTAAGGTCTTTGCTTTCATCAGACCTTCCTAAGACATTTATGCTCTCCAGGTTCAGTTCAGTTCAATTTTCCTGCAGAAAGACCACCGGCTGTCAGATATCCTTTTTGATGCTGCTTTTAAAAATACGATGGGTCTCCCTGTCAGCTTTGTTTAAGGTAAATTTCATATGTGAAATTTCTGCATGAAACAAATGATTTGTGTCAATGAGAAAGTGCATATTGGGAAGAGGGGGCTTTAGATTAACGGTTAGCATCTTATGCTACAAATGTGCTGCAGAGAAGGTGCTGCTAATTCCTGACATAATTCCTAATTGTGACAGGTGGCGGGGAAGACCTGCCTGTCATTCCATTAAGGACTATTAAAGTCTGTCTGTCCAAAGCCACAGATTCAAATATCTCTTCCCTCCTTTTGCCTGCTTTAAAATAACAACTGCACAAAGCCTTACAGCTTTTGTTAAATACATTGTTGGAGGAAATGTTTTCAGAAACACATTTTTCACATCTCCATTTTAAAATCCTTGTCTGATATATGTAATTTCAAGACCGACCATTAAAATGGCCTGAAAAAGAAAGCTTGCTGGAACAAAGCCTACCTCTCCTGAAGAGAGAGGCTGCTCCTCCATCTGGGTGAAGGACTGCTTCCATTGGCTGGGCTGGGCTGGGCTGTGTGCAGAGAAAGCCACCTCCCTCCCTCCCTCCCTCCCTCCTTCCCTCTCTGTCTTGAAGGAAGGGGACCTGGCCCACGCACAGGCATTCTCCCTATCGCTTCCCTGCAGTTACTTCTTTCTGCAGTTCAGGGCTGGGGGGGGGGGGACAAAGAAGGGTAGTTGTTTGGAAGGGGGGTTCATTTTTCTGGAGTGCATATTTTTAAGCCATTTCCTTCTGCATTTTGCTAATATTTCAGCTTGTTTTTTCTGAGAGACAAACTGACCTGAACCAAGTGAAGTAAGGAGTTGACAAAGTGGAAGGGAAGGATGTGAACTGGGTACTGATTGCAGATGGAGGAATTAAACCAAAGATAATGTTAGCCAAATAGGAGAATTTAATTGAAAGGCTTTTTAACCTTTCTTAAGTGCCAATTTTTCCCTTCAAAGCTCTGAGATGATAAAATACAATATCAATTATGGGGGGCTTTCCATAGGTGTTCATTCTTAAAACTCTTTTTCTTTTGCTCTCCTTTTTTTAATGGAAAGAAGATAAAGCATCACCAACCGCTCAAGAGCATTAAGAGAAAACACAAAGCAGCTGATTGTAGCATTGCCCAGAACTGTCCCATGCCCCACTGAGCAAGAGAGGCAGGCATACCTGGGTAGGACTGGCGGAGTTGGAGGCGCGGATAGTCCTTTAAAAAGATGCCCCTCTACCCTTTCCCCTAGTCTCTATGATTTCACAGAGATGCCAAAACCTCTGAGGGGAAAAAAATCACATTGACAGATTTTAATACTCCCTTTTTTTGTTTTCAGAAATTATAAACATCTGAAGGAAATGAAGGGGGGGGAATCCCTCCATGCCCAGATGCTTTCCAGATTTGCATCCTCTACATTAACTGTCCCATCCTCAGACATTCTGTTCCTTATTACAGTTGAAAGCCAGATGGGAGGGATTAATCTCAAACTGCTGGAGGTTGAAAGCCGTGAAGCCGTTGGCACTGGCACCCTTTCCCTTTGGAGTAGGGAGCTTCCTTTGGGGGCACAGCCTCTCTTGGGGCATGCCAGAAAAGGCCCGGTGGGGCAAGAGCAGCCTCTAGGGCAGCAATGAGCTTTAACTTTTAGCCCTTTTGTCACCTTGATTGGTGGCCCAGAAGCTGAGCTTGTGTGGAGGGGGAGGGCAAAGGAAAGGAGAGCAGAGCAGAGGTGGGGAAGGACAAAGCAACTGCTGGCTGGGGAAGGGCAGATCTTCCAACCCTACTGGGAGGGGGAAACTGTCCTGCTTTGGATTACCAGGTCATCCTTCCATGTCAGCTTTGTCCCTGGGCTGATATTGAGGTTGCCCCAAGGAATTTGTCACTGACCTGCTTTGTCTTCAGGATTCATGTGGACTACATCAATTTGGTGCCGGGGTCTCCTGTTGAATGAAGGGCAGGCATTCACGCCCCAGCCTGGCTTTGTTTCTGGCTTGTTGGAATTGGCAGGGAAGGTGGGCGGTGTCAGGAAGGAAGCACCTTTGGGGGCCCCACCTGCCCTTTTCCACAGATCTGAAACCCACCACGGGCAGGCCCAGAGAGAACAGAATGCAGAGCTGGCTGAAGTGCTTTGGAAAACACACTCTAGGGACCACAGCTGGTTCTGTTGGACATTTGTTCAATTACAAGACCTTGGGGGCTTCCAAAGGGTTCTGTGACTACCCCTCCAAATGCTCCCCTATGTGGTCCCCCTTGGTGGACCACATAGTCCTTAGGGAGGCCTGTCAAAGGAAGGGCTCCTCTTTTCTTGCAGGATCTTTGTGGAGGTGTTTACTTGAAAGCAAAGTGTGGCCTGATAACAACAATATGCAGGTCGGTCTTTACTACTGCTGCACCCTTCCTGGTAGTCAGCTCACACTTGTTTGCAAAGTGGGGCTTGTAAGGCATTTTCAGTGGGGAGGAAGGACTGTCTTAGTGTTAACATGGTGTATATATAGTTTGCCTTTCAATTAACCAGATTTTTCTGAACATTTACTGTTAAAATTATCCTGAGACCTGCACTTAAATTATCCTGAGATCTGCACTTAAATACATTTACTATGTATTTGTGGTATGAAAACTCTGAATATATTTGTCCTGAAGAAGATGGATGAGCTAGAAAGGTGCCTTGCAGCTTCAATTTCCCTTTTTAAAGGCATCTTGAAAGCTGCCTTCCCCTCCCCGCTTCCCTTTGATGGTCACCAAAAATAGCTCCTTCAACAAGTTTTCGGGCTTTGCAAGCGGAGGCCACGGCCTGGCCTTGAGAGGATCCTGGCCAATGGGATATAACACGGACTTGTCTCCCTTTACCCCTTAACTATTTTTGGAGTTTTGCAGAAACCAAAATGGTCCGGTTGAATGGAAACTTTCAATCAACGCACTACTTTGCAAATGATAGAATATGAATGTAAACAGATTCTGAAACTTTTAAAAGGGAAAAGGCTGGGGGAGGCTTTGGGGAAACCTCTGCCACAGAGGAGGAGAGCTGCTACTGGAGAGCTCCCTGCAGCTGTTGCTGGCCGGCTCCCTCCCTCCCGGTCCTTCCTCCTCCTGGCTCGAAAGGCCTGCTTGGCTGGCGCCCTCCTCGGCAGGGAAGTGGCGTCTGAGGGCAAGTCTCCTTCGGACTCGTGGGGGGGGGCGCCCCCTGGGAACAAGAGCCCTCGGGATCTGGGGAGGGCGGGCCGGGGGCGGAAGGCAGGCAGGCAGGCGCCGCAGGGGCCTCGAGGCCCGGCTCTCTTGCGGGCTTTTCCCGGGGGAAGCGGGCCCGGGCCCAGCCAGCCGAGTCTCGAGCCGAGAATCGCGAACGCGTCCCCGCGGCTGGCCCGGGAGGTGGCGCTGCAGTTCAGCGGCTCGGGGAGTCGCGGACTACGGCGGGCTGAGGCGCAGCGCAGCGGTTTTCCGGGCTCCCTCCGGAGACCGAGCGCCTTAAGGAATCGCCGGTGCCCGCCGAGCCGTCTGGGGCGACACCTTTGCACGTCTGGGGCAGATCGCTCCTGTGAGCGGGGGCGGCGGGCGCGCATCTGCCTGGCCGCTTTTCCTGAAGTAGAAGAGCGAGCCGGGGTCGCGGTCGCCACGGCACGATTCCCTTTTGGCTTCGGGACCGTGGCCGCTTTGCAATAGTTTAAAAAAGGGTAGGTACCGGGGCACTCGGGGAAAGGCAGTGCCGAAGAAGTCAGCTCTTCTGGATATGACAAACATCTGCAAGTGCCATTTCTGGAGAAAAAAAGCAGGCGCGATTGAAACCCAGTTCTGAATACACGGTAGAATTCAACTTTACAAAAGAACAGCGAAGCGCTATTAGGCAAAATGCACACTGGATCCCAATCTGAACACAGGTTTTGCTTTATGGATGCGCTTACCCTGTGGCTCTGAATTGATGTGTGCGCCCACCGTTTCCACGGGGATACGCTCGCCTTTCTGGCGATATGGATGTACCAAGAATTCGCTCAGTGCCTCGGTAGCTTAAAACTCGAAAAGTTTGGGAAAGCAAGCGACGGAGGGGAGTCTCTGCTTTCTTCTTCGATGACCCAGTTCTGGAGCAGCTTCCTCCCCCCTCCCCCGACCCTTGCTCTAAACCACACCTGGGGCGATAGGCGGTTTGCTTGGGCTCCCTGGTTGTAGGATCCCCGGCAGAGCCCGTGCTTTTCTGCCCACTATAAAAATGCCACACACTTTGGGAAAAAGCCCGGCCATTTATAATCGGCTTTTGACAGATGTATAAATATTAAAGGATATTACGCCACCCCAGCTGATTATGTTCCTCCCAACATTTTGCAATAAATCTCACCTTTTTATGACGAGGGAGGGGCTATTAGGCTTAAATATTTTATGATGTTTGGAAATATTCTTTAAACAGCCTAGATTTATTATTAATGATTTAAACATTTATAACAGCCTAAAAAATTCTGAGGTGTGGTTCATGCTACAGTCATAGACCGAGGTTATGCTTTCAGTGCCTAGCGTTTTCTGCTGACAGAGACCATTGTCACCACCCTCTTGGTGCTGGAAAGCTCCCTGCCTCCTTGAAAAGGGGAAGGGTCCTTCTCACTAGCCAGGAATGGGAGGAGGCTGAAGCCAAAAAGGAAATGCTGATGGCCGCTGCATCCAAACCTCCCACTGGCTGTTTTGGGTGGGCGCTCCCAGGTGTCCCCCATTTGGTTCAGGGTTGTGGCAAATGGTGTGTTGGAGACTAATTGGATGCTTCTCTGAGGGCGGCAGAGCTTGGGGATGCACTGCTCTGTTTACAGAGGCTACCTTTGGTTTAAGGTAATAGATTTTGTGTGTGCGCGCGCGCGTGTGTTTGTGTGTGCATGCGCACACACATAAATGAATTTAGTCTTCCACAGTGACTTGGACAATGTAATGAATATGTGATATCAGCAACAGCCAGAAAACGGGATGCACCTTTCTTCCCGTCACCCTTCTTCATTCATGCCTAATAAACCAAAGGCTATCAGGGTGGTGAGGGAGCCCAACCAAAAGGGGCTGGTCAGAACAGCAGCTCTGTCAAAATCCAGAGTGATTTGGGTTAGGATTTTTTAAACACTTCCATGCCTTGACAGGAGCTGCCTTGGACTGTGAGACATAATTGGTTTACCTGATCTTCAGAACTCAGTTAAATTGGAATCCAGACATCAAAGATCTTTTCCCCAGCTGAATGAAACTTTATCTATTTCCTCCAGTTGTCTCAATTTGGCAAATTTTACCAGACAATATATTTCCCAACCTTTGAAAACTTTCCCAAACCCACAGCACCAGCACAGACACACAAGGGAAACAGTTGTTCAGCCATAGGTGTCTCCTCCTTGGTGCTGTGCTTTTCCACAAGTGCAAACACATTTATGATACGTTTATGTCTTTGTTGGTTCTTACTTGCTCTGCAGTTCTCCATAATTGTTCTGCCGTAGCACCATATGGCCCTTCTCACCAAAGATCAGGGCTCCAAAGGCTGGAGTCCAAGATACAGGGAATGGGAGGGTGGGCTGCTGTTTGCCTTTTACCCCACCCCTACCCCCGCGCCTTGTTAGATCCTTTTTGCAGCATGGATCTAAGGATATAAATCTAGTTTAAAACAAGACAGCAAATCCTGTTTGCTTGTTTGTTCGGTTTCTTTTGCTTGGTGAGAGCATGAGCTAGCGTGGTTTTTCCCTTCACTCAACCTGTGTCTTTGCATTGCTAGGCTTGGTTTCAAATGGCATTTAGCTGAGGTAACTAAAGAAAAGATAAAACACCGCCTACTTTTTTCTTGCTTGCACCCTTTGTAGGAGAAGGAGGAAGGAGCAACTGCAGTGGGGCAGCAGCATTTGCAAATGCGAAACAGGGGAAATCCTTTTTGTAAGCATGAAAGGAGGCAAAATTACACAGATAACAAAGTTTACTTCTGCACAATTACATTATCTGGGATTTTAGCTGCCTCTCTGGAAAAGAATGTTGGTGCTAACACTGAAGTTGGAACTCAGCTGTTGATGCCTAGCAGAAGCCGTGCTGATTGGGTGGTGGGGAAGGACTAATGGATCACAGCCCCCCCCCCCAAAGGAGCCAAGCAACTGACCATGGTCCTCCCTTTGGAAACCTGCCTCTGGAAAGGGGCAACCAGCTGCAGCAGCCAAGAAATTGTTCTGCAGCCAGCCCTGCTGGATGACATGTCATCTCCTATTTCTGGCACAGCTCTGTAGTATTATTGATATTATTGTTATTATTCCATCCCCATCCCCACCCCCACTCACGAGCTGCCTCCCCTCTCCAAGCAAATTACCTCTACCTTTCTGTCTGCTAGTTCTGGAGCCAGAGGTTTAAAATGCTTTCAATCTCCATGTCCTGCTGAAAGGAGCCAAAGTGGGGGCAGGGGGGGCCCTGTGGCCCAGCAAGGGTCTTGGCTGCGTCCCGTCCCCCCCTCTCACCCCCTTCCTTGGAGAGAAGCTGCAGCATCTGAAGACTCTGGCACTCATTCAGGGAGGTCAGCATCGTTTCTTGCTTTCAGGCAGTTATTAACAGCGGTGCTGTTTGCAGAGGAGTCCCAGCTGTGGCCTTAGCAAAAAATGTTTTGCTTATTAGTGCCCCATAGCAAAAAAAGCAGCTGAGCACAGAATCCCTCCTCCCTTCCCCAGGACAGAAGATGTAGGGCTGGGGAGAGGCACAGGGGAGAAATTACATCCGGGGAAGGGAAGGTCTGCTAGGACAGCTCTTTGTTGTTGGAGGAAATGCTGGATTTGGATGCTTGAAGAGAAAGCTGCTAATTTCAGGGACTCTTGCAAATTAAGGAAGACTGTGCTGCCAAAAGCCTGGGAGGGAATTGGGGAACCCTGTGGCTTTTTCGGGCAATGTCACAGCCACCCCTTTGTATGTCCCTCGTGCTTTTTTTTATTGTCCTCTCAGGGTGCAGAATTTGAACTTAATATTCCATGAAATAAGCCACTGTAATCACGTTGGGTTAATAGGCCTCTCCGCTCCTAAGACGTTACAGCCTGGCTGCATCATTAAAATTTTCTTGTGGATGGGCGTTTTAAAATGTCACCTCAATGGCTGATGGAAGCCTCTACAGGGGGAACGACAGCTTCTCGGATCTTAATGGGGTTTTCATTTTGTCCTGTGAATTTTCCACATTTCTCTTTTCAGAGCCAGATTGTGACTGATGGCGAAATCTGATATGAAGAAGGGCCATCAGTGGGGAAGATAAGCAAATGGGCATCCTGAAGCCATCCTCTGGAACTTTGTGAAGACCCATTCGCTAAGATATCTCTATGGTTGGTTGCATAGCCAGATGTTTAGCATGGCCTTGGCATTTTTATCAACCTATCGAGTCACCATTATTATTATTAACCACATGATCAAGACCGTATTTGAGATTGCCGAGCTTTTCTGTCCAAGGCAGGCCCAGGTGGCGATTAGGGCCACATGAAATGAACCTGGACTTTTTTCCACTCAGGGAACAGCTTCTGCCCCCTCCGAGCAGGGTCCGGTCTGCTTAGCTGGGTGGAGAAAGGGTGCCCCCCACCCTAGAAGAAGATGGCAAATTCAAGGGAGGGGCTGGCTGCAGTCGGGGGGAGTAGAAGAAGGGGGTCTGGGACGAAGCACCCACCCTGGACTTGGGCTTCCAGTCTCCTCCTCCTCCTCTGTGGCTGCTGTGGCTGAGCCCTGTGTTGCCCAGGGAAGCTCAGGTGGGAACAGGATGGCCAGGCATTGAAGAAGCCCTGCTAAGCCCGGCCTTTTGGGACTTCCGTTCCCCACTGCACTCCCTGCTCTTGTCTGCTTCGGTCTTAGGGCTGAAGTGAGTTCTTTCCATGGAAAATGCAGGTTAGGCAGCCCCAAGGCCTTCTGGGGACTGCTGGCCTTGGAAAGAGCCATTGGGAGGCTGAAGGAAGAAGCTTCTTCAAAGACAGCAGATTCCCAGGTCAGCTTTCACCATCCTTCTGGTCAGCGTTCCAAAGCAGCAGGAACACAAGTACATTGAAGAAAATTTCTTCTGTTTACCATCTTTCTTCGGAATGCCCGACAACAGATTGTGCTGGCTGGGGCATTTTAAGTAATTAAAACAGATTATTTCCTTTTTTAAGAGTCAACTATTTATTTTAGTGTTCAGAAATTGGGTAACTTCCAGAAAACTTCTGGAGAGCAGGCCTGCTGACTTCCATTCTCTCAGCCCAGAGGCTGCCCCCAGGAGGATTGGGAGCACACCCAAGGCTCTCCAGCAGCCCCACCAGTGGGAGATGGATCAGGCTGGGGCTGGTGCGGGTCACCAGGCCAAATTGGCACTCCTGCCTGTCAAAAGGTGGGCTTGGTGCCTGAACACTGGCTGATCTGGGGTGTTTAAGTCAGTGGGATCCACTGTCAATAATTTAAAGGATGGAGTCAAAAGAGCAGCGCTGAAACAGATGGAGGGACAGGCGGAAAGACCCATGTACAAAATTCTCCTGCCATTTTGTTGGGTCTAAGCTCACCCCCAAATAGGGATTTCTTATTTCTTCAGCTTCCTTACATGGTCTTTCCTATCCTGGAAAGAAAGATGAGGAGGGTGGAATATGAGTTGGTGAGGGAGAAGCCTATTCTCTGCTTTGGCTTTTTAATCCTTTCTTTTTAATATCTGTACTTGCAAAGGTTCAAGAGTTGCAAGGTTCCAACTTAGCAGCTATTCTCCTTCATTTACTATGGAAGCAATAGGTCTCATTTGGGACACCCTCTGTAATAGCTAAAAAAAGTAAAGTGTCATTGAAAAGTTAAGGTTGCGTGGTCACACACACACACAAAAAAGGTTGACTGTCAATGTGATATGTCCTCCTGAGTGACTCCCTCACTCATACAGTTAACCGACACAGATTTTTTTTTGTCTAGGATACTGAAAAGGAATTGTGATGCTTCCCAGGGGGATTCCTTGCTTTTCACTCATGGTACCAGTTAGAATTCCTTGCAGTTTGGGGACCAATACAACTTGGAGGCATCCTGTGCCTAGATCTGCCTCCCTCCTTTCCAGAAGTATCAAGACTTTGAAAACAAGTGGAGGGTTTGGAACGGTTGTGGGCCTGAGGAAACTTTTGCTCCTGTCTGCATCACAAATCCAGGGAGGACCTTGCCTTAGTTTTCAGATTCTCCATCCAGGAGGAAGAACTTATGGACTGTTCACATCCTTCCCTTGACTGGTTGAAGGCCCATGAAATTGTGATACTCCGAACAATGGGCACATGTGACTCTCACAAGAATCTCAGGGTCTCCTTTTGTCACCTCATCCTAATGGGGGCTCCTCTGGTAAATCCATCACCTGCCTTTCTGAGGCCTCTGTTTGTTGCTGTTCCTCTTCAGGTAAAGGCCTGGCGTTGCATAATGTATGGTTATGATCGCTCTTGGTCCACCCCTTGCATGCTTGGTACTTGGTACTTGTACCAAGTACCAAATCCAGCCATGTTAAAAAGATTCTGTGAATCTGAATGGACCACCTTTGGTGTAGGGTGGCCCAAAGAGGGATCGGCGAATCCCGAACCCGTGGCACAGGTTCATCAAATTGTGACTGGAAGTGGTCATTGGGACCAATATCCCTATATAGACCAATGGCAGATAAATATTGAAGAAAAGCCTCGATGGTTAGCAAAGTGTCAGACAGAATGTGCTAAAATATATTTGGCAAACCAAAAAGCCAAACCTGAGACAAAAGCTATGATTTTGAGTCAGGAAGACAGGGAGGAAGTTGCCAGACCCCCGCCCTATGTTTCTAGAAGAGAAGAAGGGGGGATACATCAGCAAATTCCACCCCCTTCAGTTGAAAGAAATGAAGTCCATCTTCAACCAAAAGCCGGTGTGAAAAGAAAGATAAAAAAAGATAAAACCGTTCAGAAGAAAGATCAGGACTTGGATAGCGATGACAGCAAAACATCAGTTTCTAGTCGAACTAGAAGTAAAATGGGGGTAAAAACAGAAGAAATGATAGCCCCTTTAAGCAAAGGTTTGGTCCCTGGACCAAATAACACCAGTATTCTTATGCTCCAGTATGTTCCCTTTACAACTACTGATCTACTTAATTGGCGATGGCAATATGGACCATTTTCAGAAAAACCTCAAGAAACAATAGACCTATTCTCCACCATTATTCAGATGCATAACCCCACGTGGGATGATATGCAACAGCTTATTTCTACTTTACTGGATATGGAAGGGAGAGAAAAATATAGATTAGGGAAATTAAAAGTGCTTGCCCGCCGACACCCCGAGGGGGGAGTGAATTATCAGGCAAGCAGAGATGCCGAAGCGGTAGAAAAAAGACCAAACTGGAATGCTAACGATGCACAGCACCAAACTTTGTTGCAGAATTACCGGCTTTTGTGTTTAGAAGCCCTGAGAGAAGCTGCAATTCATCCAGTTAATTATGCTGCAGTAACTAGTATTTGGCAAGATAAAAATGAGTCACCAACCGCTTTTCTCAGCCGACTGATAGAAGCTTATAAAGTAAATACAGGTCTTGATATGGAAGTGGCTCAAAATCGCCCACTCCTAATTGAAAGATTTATCACCCAAAGTGCCTCAGACATAAAGAAAAAATTACAATGCACAGAAGGTAAAAATGTAGCAGAGATTATAGAAATAGCTCAGAAGGTGTTCCGTAACCGTGAAAAGGAAGAAGAGTGTAAGTCAGATCAGAAAGAGAAAAAGAACGTTGAAATGTTAGCAGTGACCTTGGGGGGAATGTGTATTGGACCCAACAATGTGCCATCTGTGGACAGGAAGGACACTGGCAAAGGGAGTGCTCCCAGAGGAATGGCCAACCTAGGGGACAATCTTGCCAGCATGGAAGAGGATGAGGAAGATGATTTAGAGGGACTTTCCAGAGAAGTTGCAAGGGAAGCTTCAGGGAAAGAGGGTATCCAGCCTATCCCAATCAGACGGAAGAAAGAGAAGAAAACATGATCGGCTTAGCCGATATGGAATGGGGAGACTGAAGAGGACAGGGTTCTATGGTCCCACCCCCAGAGCCCATTGTTAAAATACGGGTGGGAGGACAGATTGTCCCAATGTTAGTTGACACGGGAGCCACCAGATCAGGCCTAAATAAATCTATTGGCAAGCCATCAAACCAGATCATCTAAATTCAGGGAGTATCCAGAGAAACTCAATCCTGACCACTCCTGGAACCTCTAACATGCCAAGTGGGACAAGGAATCATTAAACATCAAATTTTATATGTCCCAGACTGTCCGGACCCTTTATTGGGAAGAGATTTGCTTAATAAGTTAAAAGCAACAATTTCCTTTGACAATAGAAAGGACCATATAATGCTGTCATGTGTTCTCCTTTGGCAGTGAAAACCTTGGAGGGAAAGTCCTGGATCTACTGGAGAGATTGAAAGCAGCTGTACCTGCCGATCCAGTAACTTACAAGGTGGATAAAACTGACAAACCTTTGGTGTTGAAATTTACAAGAAATACACCCTGTCGAACCCTACTGGCAACGGGTTCTCAACACATGGTGTGAAGAACACACCTTGCTGAGACACTCCGGAAACTGTCTCTCTACACACGGTGGAAGATATGAGGATTCTACAGCTCGTAATATCTGTTATTATTTAATATGGGGAATATACACACACAAAGAAAGAACAAAAACACAGGGAAACCAGGGTTGTCAAAACTGTATCAAGATTACAAAACAAGGAAGCCAGATAACTAAGACTTTGATTTATTATACAATGAAACTAGAAGGGTGCCAAGATAGCTCCCCTAGCTCCTGTACATACAATAGAACTATATATAAAGTTTGTAGAAAAAGGGTCCAAGATCAGTGTTATAACCCGAAGTCTGATCCTGATCATTGGGCCTTACAAATCCGAACACATAGAACAGAAGGGAGCTATAGGGACCAGACACTATTAGGGATCTCTCAATGGAAATCCAGCTCACACTCCAGTTTTAGCGTCACTTTTGATGTTTGTAAGGCAGCTAATTATTGGGCTGCAATAGATGGTTGTGGAGGGATCAGTTATATCCACAGCTATATCCCAAACCATAAGTACTTGTGCCCACCAGACGGGTGTGCAATCTCCTCGGTCAGATGTAAGTGGTGGTCATGTATTAAGTGGCATACTCAAGACCCAAAGGAGATGGAGCACATCTTGTTTGAAAAGAATAATACAAAAGCAGACTCCTGTGGAACGGATAACTGTAATTTGGTGACTCTCACAGTCATGAATGGCAGTTGGTTCCTGGAACAAAATAGATGGGAAAAATGAAACTGGATGTTTGGGATAGGAATAGATGCCAGTTGATTGAAGTTGGCAATATAAGACAAAGAAGGAAATCAAGTGCATACACCCAATGCGCAGGAATCACTTGGCAAGAACATGAATGGCCACCTTGCCGCATCATCCTAGATGGTCCGGCTACTTGGGCTGAGGATGGAATGTATGGATACCGTACCCCTATTTATATGCTCAACAGGCTCATTAGGTTACAAGCGGTGGTAGAGTTAATCACTAATGAGACTGTGAAGGGACTAACTGAATTGGCCAAAGAAAATGTGAAATCCAGGACATATATTATGCAAAATAGGTTAGCCTTGGACTATCTGTTGGCCAAAGAAGGAGGGGTATGTGGAAAATTCAACCTAACAAACTGTTGCATTGAAATAGATGAAAGTGGAAAAGTGTTGAAGGACAGAACAGACAAAATGGTCAAACTAGCTCACGTTCTGGTGCAAACCTGGAAAGGATTTAACTTGGAAGACATATTTTCAGGATGGTGGCCAAAGTTACCAGGCCTACAAACCATCATAGTTATAGCAGTCTTGTTAATTCTAGGATGTATTTTGATTCCCTGCTTACTCCCCTGTGTTGTAGCAATGATTCGAAGGATCTCAGGAAGTACAGCCCAATTAACTGCAAAACATGAAATAATGTTAGCTTTATAGGAATATAAAATGTTGCCTTTTAAAGATCCTGAATTGGAGGTAGAATGATGGAAGTTTAAGCAAGAAAACTTCCAAAGGGGGGAATAAGGTAGAATAATATAGAATAATGTGGAATAATAATGAAAAATCACTAAAATAATGATGTGTCTGCATAATTACTGGAGTAATGCTGTGTTAGCAATATGTGACTAACCAAATGCGCATTGCACTTGGAAACAATGTATGTAGTAAAACTGTCCATTGTATGCCTGTGAGAAACTAACCTAATGTAATACAATGTAGATTTCTATGTGTGTTCCTTTGTTCCTGAGAAAAGAAATGTATAAAACTGAAGCCTAAACTCGACCTCGGGGTTCAGAACTGCTTGTCTCTACTGCTTCTGAACCTGCACAATAAATCTCTCTGCTAAACCCTCTGGAATTCATAAAAGTTCCTTTCATTTTCCACAAGACTACTCCAAGCAACTGCAAAATGGGCACGCAGGCGTTTTATAGTTTTCCAACCCCCAGGCAGTCCAGCCAAGAGGAATCCTTCTTTCTTCATGCCTTGTGCATGCGCAGTAGTCCGGCACCAGCCAGTCTGGTCCTGGGCAGCTTTTAGATTGCCCGGGACCATTTGCAACATTTCTGGGCCTGCTGAGTTTCCTCATCAGGCCCAGGACACAACAGTCACAGTACAGGCTGTGATAGTAAAAAAAAGTAAACATAGATTAATCCTCTCTCATTCCTCCTCCCCACAGCCACCATTGAAAGAGGAACCTTGGTTTACATCCCAAACTAAGAATGTTCTTGGAATCAGGGTTAAAGGGATAGGGTCCCCTTTCAGAAGCCACATATCAGAATTTCAACAGAAGAAGATCTTAAAGAGCATTTAAGATCAGCTATTGGTTTTCAAGGCTGCCTAGACCCCTTTCTTTTGCCACTATACCTTCTTCCTTAACCGAGGTCTGCTGTCCCAATGACCAGTAAAGGGCCACTGGCATTGAGGACTTAAGGGTGTGACCTTCAGCTGCACTTGTAGTGCCCATCAAAAGCCTGCTTTGGCTGAAAGATGCATTTTGTAGCCAGTTCTTCAAGAACTGCAATTTGACGATGTGAATTAACAAGTCACAGTGTGATTTTTTGATGGTGTCTTTAGGCTCTTGTTCCGTGTGCCATAGAAGGATTGGGAGGGTGGGGCGGAGGGACTGCTCCATCCTAAAAGGCACTCATGCTCGGGATTTGAGGAAGCTGGAAAGTGGCTGTGCCTCGTTGCTGAAGGGAAATAGCAGTGGAGCTTCTCTTGCAGGATGGAGCCCGCTGGAGAGAGCTTGGCCTGTGAGAGCTCCATCCTATGCTTTTGTGCTCTGCTTTCAGGGACCATCCACTCAATTTTGCTCCTTCTGCAGAGAAGAGCTGGGGGAGGACTGTGCCAGGAGTATGCTCCAGAAGGCCTGTTTTCAGAGGTGAAATGGGTATCAAGTCATTCTGAAACTCCAAGACATATTTTTTAAACTCTCAACTATTGTTGAGGGGTTGAGGTCTGCAAAAGAGAAGTTTTCAAGAATATGTCAGTTTGACTTCCGGTGGTGTAGCGCTGGCGATGGCGGCTACTTTGTAGCTGTCCTCCTGAGACAGCGTTAAAACCGCTGAGAACAGCAGGCATCAGCTGTTCCGCGGTTTAAAACCTCCTTCCTGGGCCAAGGGAGGGAGGGGGAGTCTCACCCTGAATAGTGGTAGAGCCTCTGAAATCCCCAAAGGAGTTTTCTTTTGGGGTGTAAGGAGTGCTCCCACAGAGTTCAGGGTGTCTCCGCTTCTCAGGTGCCTTTGTCCCCACTCCCACCTCCGCGCTTAAAGAGAACTGGTGAGTTATTTAAAAAGCGGACAGAGCTGATTAGAGGATTTTATTTTTTGATTTTATTTGGATTTTAAGTTTGGATTTTAAGTTTAAAGAGTTACTTTCATTTTCTCTTTTTTCCTTTGTTGAGAGGGAAAGTAAAATGGCGATTTGAAGTTTTTTTTTTTTTAAGGAGACGGAACGGATTTTGTCTATTTAATTATTTCTTTTTTCTCTTCTTTTCCTATTTTTTTTTCTTTTTTTTCTCTTATTACAATGATTTTTTTTGAAGGAGGACTTGGGTTTTTGGAGTTAATCTCCCTCTCTTTTGTTTAATTCTTTTTTTTTCTTTTTTTTCTTTTTTTGTATTTTTTAAGAAGGAAGAAAGAAGAAACAAAATTTTTTCTTTTAAGATGGCTTCAAAGCGCCAAGTAATTTCCACAGTTCCTAAGGTGGCTTCTTCTTCGGCGATATTACCAGCGCAACAACTTAAATCAACATTATTACCTTCTCCTCTTGCACAGTTATTAACGGTAAAAGATTTGCAAGATGTAATGGGAAATGTTATATCTCAAATTAGGGGAGAAGTGAAAGAGATTTTAGTGGAGAATAACAGGATCTTGAGGCAAGATATAGTTTTGGCTTTAAGAGGACTTGCTTCTGTTGTTGAAAAGTTGGATTTTCGTGTTGAAGAAGTTGCAGATAAAGTGAGGTGTTGGAGGAAAAATTTGAAGGCATGGAAAAAAAGATGGAAAATTCACAAGATGAGATTCTTATGTTTCAATATAGAGAGATGGAATTCGCTTTAAGAATAGAGGCTTGAGAGAAAATTTGCAAGGAGATCTGAGAGAGATGGTTGCAAATGACTTTGCTGTGATTTTGGATAGAGAAAAAGAGGAAATATTCAGAGAAATTGAAAAAAATATTTAGAGTCAACTCTTGGGTTGCAAAGCAAAGAAATTTGCCAAGGGATGTGGTAATTTACTTTGGGAAAAGATCCCTGTGCAATGAAATTATACAAGCTTTTTATAATAAGAGGTTTCAGATTGCTGCACAAGATGTTATAATTTTAAAGGAGATCCCATCTAAAATTTTAAGAAGAAAGGAGTTTGCTTTTTTAGCAGATGAACTTAAAAAGAGGCAGATGCCTTTTAGATGGGATATTCCGATTGGAATAGTGGTGAGCTATGCGAGGATACGTTATAGACTTAATACTGTTTTTAAAGCAAAGGAGTTTTATACTTCGGTCCTGGGAGCACGCTCATCACCACCTATTAAAGTTTTGGAAGAGAAGAAGGTAGAACAGCAGTCTGAAGAAGCTGTATTGATGAAAGTTGGAAAATTACAGACTGAGGGGTCTCAACAAGTCGAGATGAAGGAGCAGAGAATGACTCGGGCAGCATATAAATGCAAGGAAAAGGAACAACAGAAAAAGGAGGTACAAGAATTTGTTTCTGAGTCTGTGGGAGAAGCAAGACCTAAGAGTTCTTTGGTGCAATTTTCAACGGCAAATCTTCAAGCAGCTTTCTCGAGGTTATTGGATAAGAGAGATGGGTAAAGAATGTAAAGATTGTTCCAAAGTTATTGACAGATTACAGCCCATTGCGGATGGAACTGGTCATTGGAAAAGAGGAGAGAAGATTATGGAGACTGAATGAAAACTTTAGATAAGAAGTGTATGCTTAGAAACTTAAGGAGCATTTAAAGGAATATTTTGTTTTAAATATGTATAAGGGAATTTCAATGGTATAAGTAACGCTTATATGTGTGTTTTTGATTGTGATGATAAAGAAAGATGGATAAACTTTATATAAGTATGATATTAGAAAATATTGTTTAGTTTTTTGAATAATTTATAC